TTTATAAAGTGTTCACAACCTAATTAATTAATTAATTACAAACTACTCGTAAACCCTTTATAAGGCTAGTCTTATTGTAAAGTGCTACCCATTTTTGTCTAATTGCAAAGAAAAATACAGTCAATACCATTTTTAATAAAATATTGCGATTTAATGCTTATGTGCTAGCATTAGCTGTCGCTTATACTCACTTTGAACCACTCTTCTTGAGTTTGAGTCCCTGACTGGAGTTGGAGTGGTCGAGCGGGGAGAGGGAGCGGGCCGGCGCCGGGTGAGGCTCACTGCTGTACGGAGGCAGCGTCCCGGCAACATTGCTGGGACCGGAGTTGAGAGGAGGGTTCACCACGGTGCTGCTGAGGGGGCCGTTCAACGCCTCCAGGAGAGACACCACCTCGTAGCCTGGAGGGATGTGCTCCGACGCCTGAAACCAGGAGGGGACACTGGTGAGTTCACTGGGACTGGGAATGTTACAGTATGTTTATTCAGGTTTTCTGTGTCAACGACTTCTCACCGAGTGTTCCTCAGAGTCAGAGGTCTGTGAAGTGATGACGGGGTTAAAGCTGGAGGGTGACAGAGGACTCAGTTTCTTCCTCATGGCTCGGATCTGCAGCAGAGCTCTGAATGCTGAATAAAAACACAAGATGACAAAACATTTTCAATATTTTTTTAAGTATTAATTATGATCCATTGCTTGTCCTGAGGTATAGGCAGTACAAAACATTACAAGCTGGTTAGAAGTCACTATGTGTGTTCATTGTTTGCTTCAAGTAAAGGGAAAAATATTTATAATCAAATCTGTGATTTAAGTGAAGAAAGTTTTAGAAGTAATTGAGCTATTTCAATTATGAAGTATTTTAATATTGTCCCTTAAAAATCATTATTAAATGCTGTATAATGTGAATTAGGGCTTATACCTACAATTATTCAGCAGGCTATTAACACAGTAAGTAGTTTATAAAACATTATGGATGGATTCATAGAAGGAATTATTGTAATAAAAACAAGTTAAGATAGCATTATCAGCAGCTTTTATCAAAATGAATTCCATTTTTAGGCCCTTTTCCTCTAATTTGAAAAGAAATTCCTCCATTGCTCATGGGAACTCACGCAGCCTGCAGATGGGGCAGCAGTTGGCCTGGTAACGCAGAGTGTCTGCGCAGGCGTTGCAGAGACACAGGTGTCTGCACGGCAGGATCAGTGTGTCCCGCACATCCGACAAACACACCACACACTCAGCACTGTTGTCACTGATCTCATCGTCAGCAACCTGGAGAGGAAAAAAGGATTGTAAAGTCGAGCTGCAGAACGATTTATTTTAACTAACTATCATGTCACTCCTGACGCACTCAGAGAAGATAGTGCTGTCTGATATTTACCTTTGATTCTTGGCTGTTGTATTTGTTCTCGATGCCATAGATCTCCTGCAGTAGATAACTCACTCCATCCACCTGGGATAGGAAAAAAGTGAAGAGTAAAAGATGGTTCCGACGAGGGAAATAAAGCTTTAGTTTATCTTTGTCTTTGAAAAGCATAAAGAATGTTACACAAAAGGAGCAGGAAGGGGAGAAAATAAAAGTATTCACCACTTGTTTCTGCTTTAGAGGCTTCACACAGTAGCTCCCGTCCATGTGCTGCCAAAGAAAGCAACAAATGTTCATTCATTTGCAAAATTCTGTCAAAAGAATCCCCTAGTTTTTCTATTCTTGCGTTCAGAACTTGCAAGAGAATCATCAAAAGTTATCTTCATTGTAAAGGTATTGTGGTTATGTCTAAACATCCAGCAGTGCTTTTCCAGCATTAACCACAAATAGCAAATTCAGCATATTTGTGGACGATTTCCCCCAAATGTAAAAATGCATAAGATTCAAACAAAAGAGTACAGTCAGTGTGTGAAGATTCTATATTTATGGTTATCATATCAGTTATTATTATTATACATTTTATAATGTTGTGGGTCAAAAGTCTAACAGGTCATTTCTGAGCTATTTCAATTGAATGCTGAATCATCTCTCCTTAGTTGCGGACAACACAGTTCAAATAATATTTATGGTTTCTCATTGATACTTAAATTAACTTATTTCATCACCACATAGCAGGACTTGATGCTATTATCAGCCTCAAGTCCTGCTATCCGGTTTTTCTGAAGCGAGCAGTCATAAAAAACTTAAAACAACAAATACCTACAATCACATGTGACTCAAACAATTAACCATAATGAAAAAAGTTACTGAAAAGGGACCTGTCAATAAAAGGTTTTTGCTCTGCTGCAATTTCTCTGATACAAAAAGTGTCTTTCTTACCTTTTCAAATGTAGCCAGCAGTATGTGAGAGTGGCCCAGATGTTCTGCAAGGATTCAAAAAACAGTGCAGACGCTTAAAATTCTTCAGTTCTACTTTCACATCAGAACATCAGTGTGATAAACACACAATCACTCACCATCCCCCTCGTCTACAACAGCTTGTACCACCATGGGGAAAACCTCTTTGTCCACGTCAAAGAGCAGCTGAGGAGAGAAAGACAGTACATTTGTATCTGCCCTTATGTATATGTGGATTTTTACAGCCTCATACAGGCCTGTGTTTCAGTGGCTCACCTCCTCGTCGGCCCACTCGCTGAGGTTGACGGTGTGTGAGGGCAGGCAGAACTGCTGGCACACTCCCCTCTTAAAATGCACCGTCTCAGACTGCAGAGAGCTGTCCTGAGGCAGGTACCTGCAGGGAACACACACACAGTCAGAGCACAACATATATGATTCCTTATGCCTGCTGCAGCCTGACATGTAGAGTACTTAATGGTTGATTTCAAGAGCATCCTGTTTAAACTAAAACAGGTGTTGTTGTATATATAAATGTGGCATTCACTCATGTTGAAGGCATGTTCTTCATCTTGTCTGAACAGAAATAGAATCAAAGACAGCTCTTAATGCAACATAAGTAAACATATATTTGTATAACATGTGTAACACTGCGCTGTCATAACTTGAGAATGTCAGCATGAATATTCATTCAAACATTTCTCTGTTCTATACTAACCTGTCTTTTTTTTTATATACGGAGAGCAATTTAAATTATGCAACAAAGCCGAGAATATTTTTTTCTAATTTGAATAACTTTGTACTTTTGATGATGTTTTTGTTGTAAGGTGTGCATATACGAGCAATGAAAACTATTAAAAGGGAGACTTGATAATAAAAAAATCTATGAGTTTTGCCAAACCAAAACCAAATATTGATCGCAAAATCTGTTTCCACTTACACTGGCACTCCATTGTGAAACTCCTCCATGGCCTGGTAGTAAATGGTTATGGCCACCTGTGTGTCAGCGTCGAAGGTGAACTCTACGTTGTAGCAGGCCCTGTTCTTCCCCTCCGCCTCGTCACCCGGCAGCTTCAGGTCCTCGCTGCACCTACGGGTGGGGGAGGAGGAGATAAGGACAAAGGGGAATGTTTTCAAGTAGAGAACAGGAATATGAGCAGGCTCAAACTCCATTTAATGTTTGAGTAAATGATTAATGGAGTGTGTATTTATCACACACGCGTTATCCCAGCTAAAGAGTGCCTTGAGCCTTAATAGTCAATCATACAGAAATGATCTGTCAAAGGTGGATTCAGTTATAGTTTGATGACATTCAATTATTTTATTTAAAGGAAATCATTTAGATATACGTTTCTTTAATCTCTTTTCATAAGTATTATGCTTATTTTTTTGGGAAAAGGGAAATGTGTTGCTTTTAGGATAGCCTTAAATATTGTTATTTGATGTTATATTGTTACACTTATACAGTGGGGCAAAAAAGTATTTAGTCAGCCACCAATTGTGCAAGTTCTCCCACTTAAAAATATGAGAGAGGCCTGTAATTTTCATCCTAGGTATACCTCAACTATGAGAGACAAAATGAGAAAAAAAATCCAGAAAATCACATTGTCTGCTTTTAAAGAATTTATTTGCAAATTATGGTGGAAATAGTATTTGGTCAAGAACAAAGTTCATCTCGATACTTGTTATATACCCTTTGTTGGCA